ACACACACACACACGTTGCAGCAGAGTGTCAGTTCCATATTGCCATCTTGTAAAAATGAGACAGTTTCACGGGGGCAGTGAATACTTTAACAACTTCTGTATACGTGAGCAAAGCCTGTCAGTTGCTCTGGCCCAGGATCTGTCTTCGGCTCCTGACCTAGCCCCAGCCTGCCGAGGGGGAGGAGACGTGCAGGTGTCTCATTTTTGTTCCTCCAGGATCTGAACTGGCTGGCAGCTGCTGGTTCCCCCTGCTCTTCACGGGGGGGCGGCTGTGGCCAGGATTTGGGGTTCAGGGATAGTTCTGCCGCCCGAAGGCTGGGCCATGCTCTCTTCTCTCTCTGTGCCCTGCGCCCACAGCTCCCGAGCTGCAGGAGGCACCCTTGCAGGCGGTCCTGGACAACCTGGACGTGCTGGAGGAGCTGATCATGCTGCTGGACCCCGAGAGCACCGTGGCCAAGTCGACGCGCCATGTGGCAGCCCGCTGCTCCTTCCCCGCCACCTGGATCACCTACACCTACTCCATGCGCGACAGCAAGAGCCCCCTGCAGGCCGTGCTGGAGGGGGTGGCCGCCAAGTGGCCGGACTGGACCGTGGGGCACCTGGCCCGGCTGCTGTCCGACATCGGGCGCAACGACGCCGTGGCCGCGCTGGCCAAGCTCCCTCTGCCCCCCTCCCACACGGCCAGCTACCATCGACCTTTGACCCCTCAGGATGAGGTTAGGTCAGGGCACAGGGAGTTGTGCTCATTGTTCCCCTAAGACAGGGGGCTCCAGCCCTTGTCCTCGGGAACCCCATTAGTCAGTCTTACAAGTCACCCTAAACCACCTATTCAACATTCATTTAAGCAACTGATCAATTAAGCAATTAACATTGCAATGACCTGAACACTGGTCCTAGAGGACAGCAGAACTTTTTGTTTTTGTTCCAGCTGATCTCTAAGTGACTTAACTGAATGCTTTTTTAATTGATCACAGTTAAATTGGTCCAGCTCTCCAGGGACTGATAATTTAAGGGACACTTATCAAACCTGTTCTGGGGGCTCCCCAGGACCAGGGCTGGAGGTCCCAGCTGTCAAATCACTTGTTTTCAGGCAGCTGTTAATTGGAAACAGCCCATTAACACGTAAGAATCCAACTTCTGCTGCTGCAGAAACTAACAACAACCGAACAAAAAATTCAAAAAAAAATCCGAAAAAAAAACGGCCAAAAAAACAAGAAAAAAAAAAGGTAAAGAAAAAACAACCCCCGGGGCCCAAAGTAAAAGTAAAAAAACTAAAAAACAAAAAAAAAAAACTATAATCTTTCTGATAATAGCATTACACGGGAATATTTAGACTGATTTATACTACCTCAGCTCTCTCACTCTCCTTGTATATCTCGAGATATAATCAATTTCAACCTTTCAAATTTCATGTACATTTCAAGTATGTCACGTCTACACAACAGGCCAAGCTCTCCTTGTGATCCCCCTGCATTTTGAAAATTAAAACCTGCTTTCAGTTTTGTTGTTTTGGTGTGTCTCTCTCTCTTGTGATGCAGTGAAGGCCGGTCTTAATTACCTGTTAGAAGCCCATTTAAAACCAGGATGAGCTTGTGGGAAGAGACTGGCTGGTATAGTCAAGTTTAATCCCATATTTGCGCATTTGCTGTTCCAGCCGCTGGCTCTCTGGCCCTGGAGGAACGGCGCCGGCTGGGTTTCGCCCCAGGTGATCGCTAGGGCGACGACTTCACTCACCTGCCTGCTCGTTTCGACTCAACATCTTCAGTCAGCTTCTTCAACTTCTTCCACACCTTCAGCACTCGAGCTGAACTCAGCCTCTCCTTATTAGCTGTTACTAGTAGATCACTCAATGGCGAAAACAGGAGGGGGTGACACTACCAGAAACGCCCATCAAAAGCACTCCTTCCCCAGAGGGCCAGCTGGATACACATCATGCTGCTCCATAACCAGAAGAGCTAGGCTGCAATGAGAAGCAGGTGTGTGACTGGGGAACAGCTGCCTCAGAGCACATTTCTGAAGGCCCAGCAGTCAGAATCTGCTGTTTTGTTCCAAGTCTCTACTCTTTAATAAGAACTGGCACACTGTTTTTTTGTTCAAACATCTTAACATCTTTATTAAGCAAATAACATCATAAATAAAAAAGTGCATAGAAAAATTAAACAGGTTTAGAAATATTTATACAAATGTACAAACTTGAAGGTTTATTTATACAAGGTAACAAAGCCAGTTTACCACTTTTAATTCTTGTTTTATGACTTTTTCTTTCCTCTTGTTGAAGTATCCCCTACACACGTATGCAGCGCGTCACAGCGGGGGCAGGGTTGTGCAGGTCGTGTCAAGGTTAGGAACTTCGTCTCCTTCATTGCACAGGTGGACCAGATTCCACAGGAGATCACAGCCCAGCATATTCTTCCAGCTACTGAGGTAGAATCCCTGATCCGAGAGAACTCCGGGGAAGGAGGTGGGGGAGGAGGAGGCCGCTCGGGGGGGTGTTGGTCGCAAGGGCCTGCACTGCGCTGGCAGCTGTATGAAGAGGCGACTTCGGAAAAGACAGGCTGCCCGATTTCCCTTGCCTAGAGTGAGGGGTGAGGGGGGTAAAACCAGGCCAGGGGGGTTTGCTGTGTTTTAAAAGTGCTGGTTGTCGGACCGGGTCAGGGCTGCAGCGGGACACCGACAGCCGGGCTGTTCAGAGACCTCGGAGACGGAGAGAGCCGAGCGAAAGGAAAGGAAACCCTCAAAGCACCGAAAGGACGATCGAGGGAAACTGCTCGTCGGAGAAAGATGGGCTCTCCTGCTACAGACCCGGACTGCTCTTTCTCACCCTGCCTCTCGTGACGAAGTGGTGCCGCGAACGAGCAGACAAACTGTACTGAACGTGAAAAGAGATCCGAGACGCGACGCCTGCCAGGAACACCTACCACTACCCCAGAAAAACGAATCCCGAACGTGCCAGGGGTTCACTTTAGTCTGCTAAAACGTTAAAATCGTGGCTCAGTCATAACAGAGATCTACCACTAAAGGCTAAATCACAAGATATTGCTAATTTTAGATTTTTCAACTCTGCGCAGATCTATATCTGTTCAAGTAAAACAAAAAACGTAAAAGGAAACTTGTAAACGTAAATCTAAAAGTAAATCAAGCCTTCAAGTACAGACTTCTAAACCTCAAGAGTTAAAGTTTTAGTTTTAACAGTACATAAAAACAAGGAACATATCAACATTGTACATTATGTGCACGCAATTAAAAAAAAAGTTAGCTGCTCTAAAAAATACAACTTCTCTCCTCCCCCAAAGTCAAAGAAACCAAGAATGCAGTTCTTTCCTTTAGGTTCTCACTAACGGTGCGAGTCTTGAAATATCGCTACGCAGAGGGATGAAGCTCACTGCCCAGCTGTGGAGGAACTTAAGAGCATCAAGTCTGGTCCTTTCTGGCTTCAGATTGGGGGGAAAAATAGCACCATGCAAACACTTGGTTCCAACACTGCAAGAATTTTCCGATGTCTTATCTTCCCCAGAGCATTTAGCAGATCTCACAGGAGAGGCACCTGGGCCTGCTACACTTTTGAGTTTTTATTTTTAGGAACGGGCACGGTGGTGGTGTGGCGGGGGGGGGGGTTGGGGCTGGCCGGCTGTTGTATCTGCCTGGCGTTCCCAAGGTTACGCCAGGGTGAGCGGCCAGGTTCAGTGCAGAGGAAATGGCCTGCGCCTCCCCTGGGGTTATAAATAGACCACCTCCGAGAACATCTGCGCGGTGTGGTTTCACAAACCAGGCCCGCGATCGTGCGCGGAGCGAGCCAGGCGCAGGGACGAACTTGTCCGCGCAAGGACACGAGGGAACGGGCTTGCTCCTGCGCACAGACGGATCCGAGTCTCGGGTCGCAAAGCAAACGAACACAGGGAAGGGTTCAAGGGTCACGAGTACCCCAAGGAGAGGGCGGACTGTGAGAACAGGTTGAAGAAAACCAGCCAGCCTGTCCCCCCTCCGACAGGAAAGGGTCTGCGGTCAAATTCCAGCAGCTGGAAACGGATCTTAAGGAAACAATCCCGGCGCTCCGGGCAGGAGGCTACTGTACTTCGATCCCAGAACTGAACACGGGCTCCCCTGAAGTTCCCCAGCCACAACTGGCACAAGACTCACAACTGTAACGCAGCCTTCTGTCCGGCAGAAGGATGAGACGAACTGAGATGTCTGCGATTCTGCACCTGAACTGGATCGCTGAACTACAGCAGGCGATAAAGACAGCCTGAGCTTAACGGCTGTACAGCAGGTTTAAGACTCGGGACAGGAGAGGGAGCTGTCGTTTTCCTGTCCTGAATCATCGGAGGTGTGCCGAGTGCACGTTTTAGAATAAAACTACATCAAAGCTTCCCGATATCGACTGCCAGACCCTGCTCACAGCACACTGACAGGTGACCCATCTCCGCCCCACTGAGAGCGAAACGGAAACCAACTTGAAAATACAATCCTGACCATTGTGTGAGAACCAGACGGACTGACTGATGGTTTAAATGAGAAAAGTGCTCGTTTGCCCAGCCAGTAAAACCACGGTACTTAGTGTTGGCTCCAAGAAAGACTAGCGTAGGAGTCAGACTCCATTTCCAGCCCTGGTGTACAGTGTACAGGGGCCCCCGAGGACTCGCTCGGTACTCTAGAGGAAACCTGTGCGAACGGTGGCGGCCAGCAGCAGCTGTCACCTCCCTCCCTCTGTCCATCGCACTCATCTTCCCCTCCTGCCCCCCGTCCAGAACTGCCCCCCCCGCTACGAGCCAGGTCGGACTGAACTGCTGCAGCCACACCGACCGGGCCCCTCTCGGATCGGGACGGAACACCTCCGTCCTTCTCCGGCCTTGGCCCGGTCCAGAGAACAGGGGTGGCGCTGTTCGGGCCTCTGCCTGGCTCCTTCAATCTGCGCGACATAATCCGAGTTAAAAAAAAAAGTCATTAAAAAAAATCACAGTGTTTGACTCCTGGTTTCTAGCAGGGGGTCTGGGGAAAGTCTGCTCAGGGCCGTCTTCTTCCGGGTGGGGAATTGGAGGCGCCACGTTCCTCTCTGACCTGCTCTGCCGGAGCGAGATCCGGGGTGACCCAGGCCTCTCTCTTCTCCGATTCCGGGGAAGCTTCCCTCTCGCGCCCTCGTCCTCACTCCCTACATTCCACCTCCTTCTGTACAGAGAGCCGTCCCCCCCCTTCTCCCGCTGTCCCCCCACTCTGGCTGTCCCAGGGGACCCCTCTAGTTGAGGAAGCGGCGGCAGCGCCGGGCCCCGCAGTTGCAGTGCAGCTTGTTGCTGGCGTCCTCGATGGGGAACTTGTAGTCGTAGGTGAGCTCCTCGCCGCGGTAGATCTTGCGCAGGGCGAAGATGACGATGTGCTTCTGGCCCTCCACGTTGATGACGCGCGAGTAGCAGTTGGGCTCGCAGGAGTGGTTGATGAAGCGCGCCGCATTGCCGTGCATGGTGGCGTCCACCACGTCGAAGTCGTCGATGCGGAACATGTAGCAGCCGATGCCCTGAGGGAGAGAGATGCGGGCCGGTCAGCAGGACAGAGTGACCCCCTCCATTGCTCCGTCCACGCCAGGGAGCCAGGCTGGTCAGTGAATCTCCCCCAGGGTCACCCCACCCTCTGTCAGAACCCCCTGACCTCTGACCCCTCACCTTGCTGTCGTAGTACTTCTCCCTCTTGTCCGTCAGCACGGAGCGCACGACGATCCCCGAGTACTCGATCACCATCTCCCCGGCGTCGATGTTCCTCTTGCAGAACAGCCCTCGCCCATGGATGGCCGACCTGCGGAGCGCACGGGACAGGGGTCACCGCCTCGCCGGACTCCCCCAGTCGCTGAGCAGCCCAGGACTTCATGAACCTCATCCCGCCGCCTGGCTATCCTGCTCTTAACTCAGCTCACTGTCAAATCAGCGGTCAGCGCAGGACTCTTATCTAGATCGATTTCAGTGTGGATACGGGCATCGTGCTGTGTGTGGAAGTCAAGGGTCCCTCCTGAACCCCCATTCATGGGGACGGCAGAGGGTGGCCAGAGCTGAACTCAGGGTATGAAGCTCCCTGCAGAACTGCTTGGCTTCAGAGTGTAGGGGAGACACTTTGTCTCCTCTTGGGCACTTTCTTGCATCTTAAACTCACTTCGAAGCCTCGCTGACTTCATGCATCTCGACATCATCTTTTCAGGATATACTCTCTTCCTTTACAGCTTCAGGCTGCAACAATTCAAACGTTACATAACAAAACACTGTCTGCAGGTAGGGACATTAGTTATTGTAATTATAAATAAGACTTCTAGTGAATCGTTCTTTATCCTTAGGGAACTGGAAGAGCTCTGGTTGAGTGATGTTGTTGAATGCTGTTTTGTGTCTTGGTGTTGTATTATTGTCGTACATTTATGAGCTTCTGATGCGGAAGAAAGTGCCTGAGGGACAGTAAAGGTTAATTCAGTCAGCGCAGCCTCATCCTTGTCTTCTCAACAGCGAAAACGCTCCGTTTTCTTAACAGGGCCTTAAACACAATAACCCGTTTCAGTTTTTCCACACCTGCCCAGTAACAGCTGGCCCTTCCTGTGCCCAAAACACACCTCCCCAGCCGGAAGGCTCACCTGTACACCCCCACTGCTTCCTTGGAGGTCTTCTCCAGGTGCCTGAACCTCATGGCCATGGGCAGCTCCAGGCTGGTGGCCCGCCTGGGGGGAGACAGAGCAGGAAGAGGAGGCCTGAGTGCACAGGAACGACCCTCGCGCTTGCCTGCGGCTCCCCCTGGTGGGAAAGGGGTGTCGATGCCGGGGGCCCCGATCTCTCTGATCAGACCCCAGGCCGGCAGGCAGCTCAATTAAAGCTGCGGCTAAAACTGCTGTTCCTGACCTGGTGGACTTGAGCGGCACCTCGTCCTCCTCCTCGTCGTAGGGCCCGTAGTCGGGCAGCTGCCGGTGCTGGGAGGCCAGGAAGTTGAACATGTCGAAGGTGGATTTCCTGAAGGGGAGAGGGACAGAGTCAGGGGAGTCCGGTACCGCTGCCTGAGCTGGGACACGCTCAGGGTGGCCTGTCTCTGCTGGAAGCACGTGGGAGGGAACCCAGCCACAGGAAGACCTCCCTTGATTTCCCCAGGCGAGTGGCGTGGTCCTGACTGCCTTTACTTTGTGACTCTTCTATAAAGCATTAGTTCACAAACTGAGTACCATCCTTGAAAGAGATGGTGGCACATTGGCGCAGTGGTTAGCATTAACTGCCTCTCAGTTCCTGGGGTGCTGTCTGTGTGGAGTTTGCCCTGGTTTTCTCCCACAGTCCAGAGACGTGCTGGTGGGTTAACTGGCTTCTGGGATTATCGGCCCTGGTGTGTGTGTCTGTGTGTGTCCTGTGATGGACTGGCGTCCTGTCCAGGGTGTGTGAGTGTGTGTGTCTTGTGA